AGCGTGACCCGTTTCATCAGTACTTCTTTCTGACCCTCAGGCCTCCTCTTACACATCACTTCCTCAGAAATCTCTTCTCCATTTATTCAGACCAGATAAGGTGCCCCAGTTATACGTCCTAATTCTTTAATAACTGTTTCCCCTTCAGAAGTTTCACTATATATGGTTTGTCAGGCAAACTGGGTCACCTGGTCACCCTAGCTTTCAGCTATTCTGTAAGGAAAGGAGTTTGTGCCTACTTCCTTCACTTCAAAGCGCAGGGCACATGGTAGAAATACAATAAATGTGATGACCACCTCATCAGTTTTGAATTTTGTCTCTCCTCATTGTTCTGTCTGTTTCTGTCTGATCTAACTGGAGTTCTGCTGCAAGGGAACAGAATGAGTAAAGAGGGTCCACCTGGAGGGCGTTTTAGTGCCTGCCTGGCCCCAATGCATCTTCCTTTTCAGGGAGTCTGCGTAAAGCCCTCACACTGGTCCTGAAGACCCAGGGCACCTGCAGAGCTGCAGGAGTCATCTTACAGGTGGGCGGGGGAATCTCGTGCTTGCTGAGAGTGTCGTGTATGCCCAGTCAACCTGGCAGAGGATGCACATTTTAACTTAGTTGGCTTCACTATCGACGAGGCAGATGCTTTATACACAGCCCTGTCTTAGCTGATTTTGAAGAGGAAAATGCTATCAATTAAACAATCAAAAAACAAATGGTCACGAGTACATCTAGAAGTGTTTTTAAAGAGATCATGATTCTGAAAGCCCACACTACTTTGGCCATTCTAAAGATGGAAACTGGTTACTATATGACAATTAGAATGTAGTTTTAAATATGTACTATGACACATTGTTTTTACTTGAGGCATCCTGGCCTCAAAGAGAAGCTAAGCCATTAGAAAAAGTTGAGAATATTACAGTCAAAAAATAAAAAATGATACACGGGGGTGGGGGGTGGGGGGGTGGGAGGAGTGTGTTAATAAGTGGTTTGTGCTATTAAATGCAGAGTTGGTCATCTGAAACAGAAACCACACCCACACCTACTTTACAATCAAAATTCATTAAAAAATAAAAAGCAAAACAATAGATCTCAAATCCTGTAACTCAATGTGCTTAAGTATATTACTTAGGGCTCTTCAAATGTATGCTTTGGGATAAACATGAACAAGTCAAATACGCACACACACACACACACACACACACACATACACATCATTATAACAATAAGTCATAATTGTAAGAAAGGCTCCTATTTTAACTTTTAGGCCCTCTGACACATCGTGAGTATTAAGTATCACAAGATTCTATAAACAGCAGTCAGGGAAATCTGCCAAGGAACTATTAACATTATTAGTAGGAGAATGGCACAGAGTTGGAGAGAATTCTACCATAAATAACATTACTGCTATTTCTTTACTGCTTTCAGTTGAAAATCACCAATTATATCCATAGCTCTCCTTGATTTCCCCGTGCAAAGCTTTAGAAAGAATTCAGACTGTACCCTTCCATAAACATATACTAAAAGTGTTTAAATGCTGAACATTTATTAAGGATGAATGTCAAAGCTATTTTCTCTTCCTTAAGAAGAGCTAAAAAATGCATGGTAGTCCGCCAAGTCCCTGAGATTAGCATTATGATGTGTCCTTCCCCATTTCTCCCCACGGTGTGCCGCGGAGCTATTCATAACCCCTCTTACAGGGGGATTTGTTAAACTGTTGTTATCCAAAAATACACACCTCATCTATGGTAGCAAGTTTGAAAGAGTCTGAATACAGAATAAATTGACAACTCTTTGCAGAGAACAGCTGCTGTAATTATAGTTAGGACTAAGAAAAGAAAGGAGGAGGGGAGGCAGGGAAGAAGAAGGGTGGACGGACCCTCCCCAGGACAGAAAATGGTTCCTGTCATATGGGTTTGAATGGAAAAGCAGACAACTGCTCTACAGAAACACTACCTCCTTCCCAATTCCAAACCACAGAGTTCCTTCTTTAAAAAGTATACTGTCCGCATGCATGTGAAAGCCCAATTAAAGGTAAATCTGTAATCATTTTTAATTTAAAACTATTTACAAGATCTTAACTCCCCAACCCCCAGCCAGGCAAAAAAAAAATGTAATCTACTGCCATCGAATCAGTTCCAACTCATAGTGGTCCCACTTAGGGTTTTGGAGACTGTTAGTCTTTCCCCATGGAGCAGCTGCTTAGCAGCTGTTTCGCAGTTAGCAACTCACTGCAAACACAGTGAGCAGACAAACATAAACCAGCCAGCGGTTGTGCCCTGCATACATGGCAGTCAAGTCTGACTCATCGTGGCCCGATGGGACAGAGTAGATGTATCCATGGAGTTTCTAAGGCTGTGATGTCTACGGAAGCAGACTTTCGATCACAAACATGCCACAGACCATGTTGCTTAGGTTAGCAGCTATGAATTTAACTACTGTGGCACCGAGGCTCCTTGGCGACATGAGTCTTTTTGACTCCCATGAAGAGTCACCGTCTTGGAAACCCACAGGGCTGCTGTGAATCAGAAACAACTCGAATAATGGCAATGAGTCGGCTGGTTGGTACGAAATACAAGGTAGTAAATCTCTTATGAGTGTACAAGTAAAAGAACAGTTTAGAGCAGGCGTCCTCAAATTTTTTAAACAGGGGGCCAGGTTCACTGTCCCTCAGACCCGTTGGAGGGCTGGACTAGAGTTTAAAAAAAACTATGAACAAATTCCTATGCACACTGCACATATCTTATTTTGAAGTAAAAGACAAAACGGGGCAAAAACCCCCGGCGGGCTGGATAAATGTCCTCGGCGGGCCGCATGCATTTGGATCAGACCATGAAGATTGATTCCCTCTTTCGAAGAGTCGGTAGGCGCCCCGGTGGCGCAATGGTTAAGTGCTCAGCTGAGAACTGAAAGTCGGCAGTTTGAACCCACCTACCTGCTCCGTGGG